AGTAATTCTGTTGTATTCAAATTAATTAATGCAACAGGAAATGCTACAGTTGTTGCCGGTGAATTTGGTATACCTGGTGGTCCACCATCTCAGTTTAATTATCCGTACGGCGTATATGCTGATAGTGGCACATTTTATGTTTCGGATTCACAAGATGATATGGTTTTCAAATTTTTCTCTAATTCAACCAACGGAACTAATGGAACCGTTGTTGCAGGTAAAATAATATATCACTTCAATCATTCACTCAACAGGCATGATATGCGATGGAGAAGAAAGACGTTTGTCTTCGTTCCAGAAAAGCACACCTAATATAATACTCATTATCAGCATCAAATTCTCAATTGAACGATGTTGTGGAAAAATCAGAGAAAAATCATTTTTTCAATCTTCCAAGGGAGTGTTAGAAGCGAAACTATTACGAAAAAAATACAAGTCAACATTTTACATTTTCTCTACCTGAACTATTAAAAATGTGGCATTTTAATCGACGTTTTTCTATCGTTGTTTGAGCGAAAACGTGAAAAATTGGACGATTGTGCATTATAACTAACAAGAGAACCTCGACCGATGTTAAACTCCGATTTCAATGAACATTTGTCTGTAGATACTATATAGAGTGCTAGTAAGAATACTAAAAGGATTTGGGTTCGTATTGCTTGTTTCAAAAGTTATGAATGTTTTATAACTTAGCAACGAACTGTGAGGGAAGGTTGAAGTTTTCTGTGATTATAAATACAGAAAAAATGTTCACCCTTTCACATTGTGTTTTGACTGAGATATCAACTTTTTAATAATTTATGGTATGCGATGTATGAACAAAATAAAAACATTCATAACTCTTGAAAGAAGCAGTACGAACCCAAATCATTTCAGGGTTCTTACTAGGACTCTGTATAGTATCTATAGGTAAAAGATCATTGAAGTCGGAGTTGGATATCTGGGGAGTACTCTCGTAAGTCTTTATCTCAAAAGCTATATAGTCACTCCCTTTCCAAAATATGACCTTAAAAATGAAAGAACAGGGTCAAAATTAGAAAATACCTCAAAAAGCAGGAGAACTGACCATTATTATGCGTTTTTTATGCCAAAACAAGCAGATATAAGCATAATATAGCCATATTCGGAATCAGAGCAAAAAACTGAATCTAATACTATGCTTCTTAACGTGAAACTGAGAAATACACTACTTTTGAGTATGTGTACTGACAGTATACGAAGTTGGATATTTGAAGAAAATAAAATATATTGCCATACAGTCTAGAACATTCCAAAATCTTTCAGTTGAACGTGGAACTAAGAAACCATAAGAATGAATGATGTGCAGACTAACTAGTTCATATTTTATTATACTTTCTTGAACGTTTCTAGAAATGTCTCTTGAAAGAATATCATTTTCCATATCAATTAACTCAGTTTCACAATATTTAAACTTTTAGGCAGTCTGGGTGACTCAACTATACTTGGTGCACCAGCTGGTATCTATGTTGTTAGTAGTTCAGGAAATCTCTATGTAGCTGATAATGGTAATTCCAGTGTGGTACGATGGTCACCGGGTGCAGATCCCAGTACCGGTCGTGTATTTATCGCTAATGATACTCTGACTGCTATACTTGATGTTATAGTTACTGCAAACGAACAAACACTGTTTGTAACTGATGGTAAGCTAAATATAAAATAAATAAAGTACTGAACTTTTAATCTAATCATACTTCAACTCTTTGTTGTTTTTATAGCCAATTCTGTCAAAAAGTTTACCGTTGGTGTTAACACTGCTACGATATTCGCTGGAAATGCAACAGCAGGTTCTGGTCCTTACCAGTTCAATGGTGCAGCAGGTTTAGCTTTGGATTCAACTGAGCAATATTTATACGTAGTCGATTCGGGCAATAACAGAGTTCAAAGATTTTATATTCCAAGTTGTTAAAGAATTATTTTACCTAGTTTACTACAGTGGTAGTAGTCATTGGGAAGCAAACATTAAACTTTATTTTTTAATTTTCGTTTAAAAATAATCTTTTGTTTTGTTGAATATTAAAGATGCTACACGCCTAAAAATGTGGTGCGCAAAATAATAAGGAAACGCTGGCTTAACTACTGCTCGAAACAAAGTAAATGTTTTTCAAATTAAATTCTATTCTAATTTTAAAAACAATTTTATGAACACTCTTTGATCATTGAAACCAATTTCCAAGTTCTCAGATCATCAAAGAAACCTTTTCCGAGAAAAAAATCAAACAAACTCTCGAAACTATGCCTGCTGAAAAATAGATATGAACACTCAGAATAGGTGCAAAAGGTTTTCTTGACAGTAAGCCAGGCTGTTTTTAACTCCAAAAATGTCTGTCTATGTCATAGTTTATACGCAATCCATGTGGCTTATCGAGAGTGAAAAGAAATAAAAAAGCTTGCCTTTTAGCTGTGGTTGCTAAAGATCTCTCTCATTCACACAAAGACTGTTTTTAATGAATTTTGGTGAGAATAAATGAATTAAGTGTGCCATCTGCTCGGACTAGGTTAGAACTATTGCTTAGTTACATTCCAGACAGGCATGTACATATTACGATTAATTGGAGGGGTAATTAATCGTCAAACCGACTAACCGGTTGATCGATTAATTGAAAACAATCGAATTTGATTTTCAACGTAAAAATTTCTTTCATGTTATGCTTATTTTAGGCTGATTTTTGGTTCTGCTGCAGTGTGGTATTTATCCGCTAACTGTAGCTGTGAAGCAGTTGAAAAAACTGAATTTAGAAGCCACCCTATAACAAATGTTTCGGTACTGGAATATTGTTGCACTTACGACTCGCGGTTAATCGTCACAAAGATTAGTCGGTTGGCCGAATAACCGGTTGCTGATTAATCGTTCCATCGATTAATCGGCTGATAACCTATACTAACTGATAAGTCAAACATTTTTGTCGTCGATGCTCTGCTACTAAATTCTCGAAGAAAAAATCGAGTCGTAAGTTCCATGTATTTTCGCAGAATTGATGTAACGGCAGAACCTCTGTGATCAAAAACTGCTAACATTAACATTAAAGAAACGTGTAGTGTGAGTTCCATAACGCGTTGGGAACCCTCAACATTATTATACGAGAATTGAATCATGGTGATGGATAACAGACCAAGTTATCAAAATCATCGATTGGTTTAGAGTGTTGCATGTCAATTAAATTACAAAACACTTCATCTTCTTTACCAGCACATACAACTACAATCGGGAGCCGATTCTGAATAGCACAACGTATTCCTGAGCTTCCATCTTGGCAATGAAATTGTTTCCTTCGATTACAATTTAACCATGGGCACAGCATCACTTATACAACATCCATATAAGAGAACTCTGTTGAACAGGAACTGGAATATTAGTATTTAAAATATTTTGGCATTCGAAGAGGCGACTTCGAGGAATACTTCCATAGTCAGACATTTTTTTGTCTTTTGAATAAGGAAAAAGTAGGGTATACCAAGTTTTCCCGGATTTTCGCGGGTTTTGGGGGTCAAATTCTGATTTTTGAGCGTAATGTCAGAAATTTTTTCTGAATTCCGTTCGATTGTGCAGAAATGTGTGATCTCTCAGTTTTAACTG